TAGCCGGTGCTGTGTGCTATAAACTCCCCGCGCGCCTAGCAACGCCAATCGCGGGACGGCCTCATCTCGCCGCGCGCTTGAATTGGGCGGTAGGCCGGGCTTAAGACAGCGACTTTTAATAATTAATAACTCGTTAATCATTGCGAAAATTGCAAAATGGTACAGGACTTTTCGACCCAGTCTAATCCGCTCTATCCGTAAATAAGAGATGAGGCGGGTATTACATATCACCCTGTATACAGGGTGTTCCAGGAGGAAAGGTCGATATTCTGGGAGATGATAGTATCGGTCATTTTAAGCCAAAACCTTCATATGAATATATGTTCCATTCCCCACTGTTTCCGAGATAGACCTATTTGAGTGTACAGTTGCAAAATTACTCACAAGGAAGAAATACTACGTACTATTTCTAATATTTCACGTTCACGACTCGGAATTCTGCGAAAGCGTCGACGGTATTCTTCAACAGCAGCAGTAGCACTACCATCACAGAAACCGTAAATATACAGCATATCTGCATATTCGACATTTGTGAATATGCGAGGCATTTTCAACATTTCTACAATGTTATCAGCACAACAGTCGACGGACGTATAAGAGTAAATTCCCGCGGACGTTTATGAGGTTGGATGAAGGGTGAAGTGTGTAGGAAAAAAGTAAATACACGAGACATTCAAGTCTATCTCGGAAACAGTGGGGAATGGGACGTATATTCATACGAACATTTTTGCTTTGAAACGACCGATACTATCACCTCCCAGAATATTTACCTTTCATCCTGGGACACCCTGTATGTAAGGTATACGCGACGGGATTAACGAGCGACTTTACTGTCCTCATTGAGAGGATGCGTTGATGGTATTCTTATTATCGGTTAGATCCTCTTAATTCTCTCCCTCTCTCTCTCTCTCTCCCTCTCTCCCTCTCTCTCTCTTCGGCTTGACGTGACGTCGGAATACGCTCTATCAGAATGTACACTACCGCTCATAATTATTCAAACGACTTGAGGAGTCCGAAAAATAGAGGATTACACCCGGGAAAAGTAATATTCATTGCGATAAAAACTAGTTTGCATGGTACACGAATTAAGCTTATCGACTTAAATATAATAATATTGTTAAAAGTTAAAAGATTATTTATTAATTGTTATTTAAATAATATTCACCAATATGCGCATTCTTTGCTTTGATTGCTGTTACGATTCTTTTGTATTTGTTGTACTAATTTCGCCATTGTCTCTGTTGATATTTTATTCCGCGCCTCTTGTTTGCTCTCATACGTCCCCTTCGTTTACAGGAAACGTAGATTTTAATAAATACAGTAAAATAATATTCGACTCGAGGATAATAGGAGATTGTTCGATGGGCGTTGTTTCAATAATTTCAATTTCGTACACGTACAACTGCAATTAATATACTACAATGATTGATTATTCTAATAAAATATTATTTCTGCTAACAACAGTATCTGCGATCTGAATAATCATGAGCGGCAATGTTCTTTTCACTCGAAATAATTTGACTAACGATGACCTTCTGTTTCGCCGAAGATAACAATTTTCAATTCATGTTGCGCATTCTTATTTGCGCCCAACCTTCCTGCGGTAATTGTCGCCTAGCGATAAATAGACCTTCGTTAAGACCACCATGTTCATTACGTGCTCATTATTCAGCGCGACGTCCCCGCGAGTTTAAAGAAGATACTCAATGTGATATTAATCAGACAGTACACGCTAATAGCTGTTAATGCCAATAACAAACACGGTTCGTAATGAAACGTCGGACAGAAGTGAATTAAGAGGATCTAACCGGTAATAAGAATGCCATCAACGCATCCTCTCAACGAGTATAGTAAAAACGCTCGTTAATCCCGCCGTATTCCTTACGACTTCATTACTTAGCTACCGGACACTCCGCGAACGTGATACGCCTCGAATGCCTCGGTTCACGCGTAAAACCAAGTGGCAGCCGCCTTTGTCACCTTTGCTATTCATGCTAATTTTGTAACCGGATCATTAGAGATGCACACGCGCAGATTTATGCACAACTGGATGAACTTTGTTATGCGTTTTCTTCGCCCGCGTCTCTCGTATCGTCCTCTTGCACGCCATAATTTACGCCGGTACTGTAATAGACCACGTCGAAAGCTAAGCTACGCTATTGAAAAACATAATTTAATGACGCTGGTAGATTAGTCTTGGAATATAAGAATTAATGTCGCGGTTTACCGCACGGCATGAAAAGTAGATAAACCTCGCCTCTATAATTTCGCCGCGAGTCTTCCGTTACCAACATTTTCCTATCAAATTCCGAATTCAAATCGATGATATCTGTTTTTGTTTATCCTTTTTCATCTATTTTTTTTAAATAAAAATCCAGGGCAAATTCCGATTTCAAATTGATGCACGATGATATTTAAAAAAAAATTGTTTTCCATCCCTTTTTCAGTGATAAAGTTGATGCATGACGATATTTTTTTATTTTTTTTAAGTGAAAATTTAGAGCGTTAATTACACGAAACATTTATTTGTGTAATTCAATACATTGTAGATATCTTTCGACGTGACTTTTGACATGGGCTTTAGAACGTTGTTATTAATGTCAATAACAAACACGACGGTCCGTAATGAAACGGCGAGCGGAAGTGAATCAGGAGGATCTAACCGTTAGTAAGAATGCCATCAACGCATCCTCTCGACGAGCATAGTAAAACCGCAGGGACGTGCGGTTATGATTGAAACACAGAATAAGAGGTAGAGATCCATGAGAGGTAAGTACTATTCTTGGACTATTCTTTTGAAAGCAGCCTCATTTCTCATTTTAATTCAATATTTAATAAATATTTATTATTCCATGTACGTGAAAAAGCGAGGACTGGATGGTGTAATGCACGTACTTCGAATTTAAATTAACCGCTTCCGGGTTTAAACAATAACATATTTAAAGCGCACACAGTTCGCAGATTTTTTGTATTTCTCCGCGGGCAATGGTTGATTTTTGTTTAAAACGTTTCCTGTTATACCGTGTCCATATAACCGCTGCGTGTGGTGTTCCAGGTGCTCCGGGAGTTCCAGGTGTATTCCAGGTGTTTTCGAGTCAGAATTTCCCCGAGTTACCGGATAATCTTGTATTGATAATTGGATTCGCGCGAATGCTCGGATTTCACTTGTTTCGCGGTTGTGGAAAATACGAATGAATTATTTAACCGCGACAAGCGACACGTCACTCCGACGTACAAATGCGTCCCCGCTTCATGTTTTATTCACTACGCCCGCTGCGCATTACGCGATATGAAGCGACTAGACGCTTAGGGATTGACATTCGCGCGCGGTTTCACAAGGCGGATTATGTTCGGGAGCACAATGGGCGAGCCGTGTCGCGGAACGGTTTGCCGCACGGCATGAAAAGTGGATAAACCTCGCCTATAATTTCGCCGCGCGTCTTTGTACCGACATTTTTCTATCGAATTCCGACGTTCAAGTCGACGCTTGATGATGCTTTACTATCAGATTCCTAAGGACACACTGGACTATGATAAAAAGGATACCGTTTTTTAAATTCCGCTATAATTGTTAGAGAGAAACTTTTGATATTTGTTTAAAGAGTTCTCGGTACACTGAGAGACCCATTTTGTTGAATGAAACAAAATTTAGTTGACTCAACTGAATTTCCTGGTTATCGTCATCTCACTTGCTAGTTCGGCGGCCATCTAGTGGCGGAATACCGTACTTCGAGATGGACGAATTTGTTATCTCAACCATAAAATTTTGTTCAAATAAACAACTCATGGAAACAAAATGCTCAGTTGTTGTAACATTTAACTTCTTTTCAGCAAAATATTTTTCGTTTTATACAATCAAATTACATGTTTAGTCAACAAAATAATTCAATCAAATTATATAATATCATTTCATTCGACAAAATGGGTCTCTCAGTGTAGTTGAAATAATTTTTAAGAAAAATCGATATTACATGTTTCGGTTAATTTTGTGAAATAGTTGTGTTAAAAGAACTCAAAATAATATTCAATTTTCAAACAACGTACATAAAGCGTCAAGTTATTATGTTAACATAAATATAACACGTAAAAGTGTTACGAAAATAATAACATACACGTTTTATGTTAAGTTTACATTGAAGTAAGAATCAAATTTTGGTAATGCAAGAAAATTTTAACATTTCAACACACGACTTTTTACTGTGTACGATATCAACAAGAAATGATAATAAAACTATATGTGTATGTCGTTATTTTAATTGGTCGGCTTTGTAACAATAGTTTCGTTGGTACCTTTCGCTTTTACTCATCTCTCATGACTCTGTAACACTGTATCTTATACACGACAATACATTTATTATTAAGATTGTTGCTGTTGTTATTATATATGGTAGAACTTATATTTAGATTATTAGTTTTGCTGTAAACTGTATGGTTAAATGTATCTAAACCCCCCAACTCGGATGATTGGCGGATTGCTTCCGCGACCCTTAATTATGCGATCCAGATTGGGTCGCAAGAATTTACCTAAGCGGCCATACGTCACAGCCCCTAAGGTGTCCCGTTGCACTATTTCCGTCGTCTTGGGTGCCGTGGTAAAAAGACGTATGCACGCGTATTAATAGACTGACCGAGCACGCATCTACCGGTGACGTTGCGCGCACCATCAAAATTCAGCCGAAACCGCCGCGCAAATTTGTCTCGCGCGATTTTCCTACGGCGGAAGACGGTAACACGTGTTGCTGAGGAGCGCGACGGGGAGGGAAAACCGTGCCGCTCGGGAAATCCGCACTTTCGACTTGCGAGTAGTTACGACTGAGTTGCATTTTCGAGAGAACTTGCCGACCGCACGCGGACGGCGCAAACGGCAAAGCAAATGACGTCGCTCGGATAAAGCCATTAGTGGCGTTTCATCCGCGCGGATTTCGCGAATTAATCGCCTCCGAAGAAAACTTACTAACGCTGTTGCTCGTTTCTTGTTGCAGAACCACGAATATGGCGGATACGGAGACGAACCACGTCGAAAAAGGTGAGTCTTACGGTTGCATTGTTCGTTCGCGCGAATAGAAAGTCGTACGCTCCAAGTAATCGACAATTGTGCGTGCATCAAATCGTTGATGAAGGAACGGGAGATAAAAAATTTATCAAATCAGGCTAAAAAAAGACTTTTCGTATCTGTCGTGCGTATCCACAGATATGAAGACAGATATGAATCTTATGCGCAAAGTTGTATAACAACAGTATTTACGAAGATTAAAACTGCGAGAGAAATACCTTTACATTGCTTTGTTCCCATTGAAATGCTGCGTTAATAATGAAATCAGCGTTGACTGGCAGCCACTACCTTATCGTTGCAAAAATTGTATCGCTATTATACAGAGCACAGAATTTTACACGCCCTTTTACACAGAATTATTGCGCGTACCAAGCCTTTCCATTAGCTCATCGTTTCGAGTTTCTTGATGTGTTATCAATCGTACACATTTGTCAGAGCCATTAACTTTCGCAACATTTTAATTGGACAATGAGCACCGCCGATGACGCCACTCGATCGTCTCACAGCTCACTTTGTATTGTACAAACAAGTTGAAATCAGTCGCACGCAATTCGTTCGCACTATCACTCCTAATAAATCTGTCGACGTCGGTACGATTTCGCGCACACAGCTTACAGCTTTTCAAACTGCCTCGCAGATCGCATTTTATTTAACATTCTTATTCTTTTGCGTCAGTTATATTTTACGCTACACGATTTCTGTAAATTACACTTGCTCTTTATTTCCAACGTGAAAACGGTCTTTCTTCTAGAAAGACGTTCTTATTTGCGCGCTATTATATCATTGACACGCTATTACGGGAACGCTCGAGCGTGGAATTGGATGCCTGATAAGCGCCAAGACACGTTCTGTGTATCGCGACAGCGAAAATTAATTAAAACGACGCAGCCGGTCGTCGCGAAGTTTGACCCTACCGCCGTTAACCTATAGTCCAAGTCTAATAATAAGAAGTTAAGCCGAGTATTAAGCGTGATTCAGTCCAGAAGAGGCAATCCGATAGCGAGCGATATCTACTCCACGAACTCGCGATAACTCCTTGGTAAAGTGAATTCGAGCTGGCGAATCGTTGAGCAGTCACAGATGCAGAATATCAGATATTAGATGTTAGATAATCGACGAGAATCGAGAACGCTTATCTTCTATTCGCGGCCCCTTACATTTTAAGACGATCTTTATTTTTCGCGACGGAAATCTACACATCTCTCATGTTGCATTTCAATTATCGAACTTCGCACTTCTCTGTTAGGACGATTACCGAGAAGGACGTTCAATTGCCGACGTATTTTCATCCAGCTCGAAATATCCTACATGAATAATAGACGTATCGCAAACACGAGAGCGCGATACAAATAAGCTCCGGATAACAATGATCGTCAAGTGGTAATTCAATTTGTATCGATCCACGCAATTGGATATTCCATGCCATTAGCCGATGCAATGGCCCTCTCGCCATTTTATTCGTGGAAAAATTACGGCGATTGATTTTTACATTGGATGCAAGTCACGAAGAAGAGTCGTACACACCAATATCAACTGTGAAAAATATATCGCGTGGCGTCCATCATCGGTCGGTTGCTCCGCTATACAACACGTGGGCATGCCAATCTCGGCTGGAGATTACTTCGTTTCGCTTTTCCCTCGACCGAGATGCGAGATACCTATCTTCCTATTCCTGACGTTATAATCCTTTACGACGTATGATGCACGCATGCAATCCACGTTCTCTCTAGATCAGAAGTATCTTTTGAATTATGGAGAATTTCTACGAAACACTTCTCTATTTAGGTGCGTGTACACACGCGAATACATTTTATACGAAATTCCCCACAATTAAATGAATACTTTTGGATATACTGGTACAGGGTGTTATGTAATACCCGCCTTACTTTTTACTCTGAAAAAGAAGACAGCAATCCAAATAATTCGATTACTAATTGTGGGCCCCAAAAGGGTTGCTGTCTTTTTTTCCCAGAGTACCCAAGATTTTTACGTAATACTAATCAATTCTCTCAATTAGTTCTCGATATTCAGTTGTTTATTATACGTAGCCTTTGCCGTGTGTCATAAACAATTCCCCCGCGCATCTACCAACGTCGATCGCGGGACGGCCGCATCTTGCCGCGAGCTTGAATTGAGCGGTAGGCCGGGCAGCGACTTTTAATAATTAATAACTCGTTAACTATTGCGAAAATTGCAAAATGGTACAGGAATTTTCGACTCAGTCCAATCTGTTCTATTCGTAAATAAGAGGTGAGGCGGATATTACATAACACCCTGTATATGTACGACGCTGTGTAAAGTAAATTAGTTTGCCAATACTGAAAAGGAGATTTGACAAGGAGACGTGACGACAAACATTTTCATTTCGCGAATATATGTAGAAATAGTCGTGGATGTCGTTGATTTGCGCTCGAGCATGGGTCTGTGGGAAATAATTTCCCCCTTCTTTTTTCAATCCACGCATGGAAACGAAGCCGAGATAATATTTCGAGTTTTAGCGGGTGCAATCAATGCGATTCTGCACTACGTCAGCAAGACGTCCGTGCTGCAGTCAACGAAGAATGAATTATTATTGGGGAACTAGTTTTTGCGAACTCGGCGATAATCCAGGCCTCGTTTTCGAGCGGACTTCCGTAATTGAATTTTCAAATAATTGGAGCGTCTTTTAACGAGGACAAATGATAGAAATTCACGATTTTATCGGCCGCGCACTTATGTGCTGTAGGGCGAACTTTTAATAAAGTTCTCTGTGTGCGTTCGCTGGAATAATACGTATCAATTAATCTGTTTCAGAGAAGACAATAATAAACCGAACCACGTCCTCCTCTTCACAATTATCAATCCAGTTTACCCAATCACCGTGGTAAGTCCTTCACCAATTTATTAACGCTGTTACGACCGAGACTTTTTTTTGCTCCATGCGCTCAGAAAACCGATATCTATAGGAATGCAAAGCACGCAATTGCTCTAACTTATGCCTCTAAAGTCGTTTACCAAAAAAAAAACACCATTCATAAATTACTTCTTATTCGAAGAATAAACGTTTGAAAGGTAGTACGGCGAAGCTGTAGCATTCGTAATATATGCCGGCGATTCACGACAATTGTTATGCGTGCAGTATATTTTTTGTTTTTGTTTTGCACGTATTAACTCGGTGCACAGTAGTCGGGGACGGAAAAGTGGCGCAATTCTGCGACGGTGGACTATAACGGGGATTGGAAATATTGAAGCCAAAGCCACAGAGAACAAAAGTTGGCAGCACGTCAGCCTCGTAGATTTCACAGGCCGTCGCACTGCATTTTATTTCTGTTTTGCGCCAATAATAGATGAGCTTTGAGCTCTCCCGCCGTTTCTCCCCGCCGCCCGCGCCGGCGGTCGGGTCGATGTCATTCGACATTGTTTGCGCTGCTTCTGTTCGAGCGCTCGCATAGCTATCCGGTCGCACAAAGCTCGTTTTCTTGCGCTTCTCCCGCGATCGAACCACTAATTAAAGAGCCGACTGAAGGCTTCTTGCTCGCGCGATAACCGAAAGTGCTAACAATACTGCGGTACTGTCGAAGTGTTCGCATTACAGCGCGAACGCAGTGATATTCTTGCCTTATGTCGAAACCGTCGTGATTCTATCATTACAAAGCATCGAGAATTTTGCCCCCATTGAGAACAAAAAGTTATTATACAGTTATTACTTTACTACGAAGAAAGAAAGATTGTGTAATCCAATAATCTCTTTGCAGTCGCATAATAACGTCGTTAGTTGTACAAGACTGCGACGAGTAAGAAGCTAATGCAAAAACTGTACCAGGTACAAAGTGTCTGCGTCATTAATACTTATTAGAGAGAAGACTGTAGCATTGTTTGTGGTTTGTCTAATGAGCAATTTGTCTTCTAATATGCGGCAAAAATGAGCTAGAATTTTGCTATGTGCACAAGCACCCGTTAATTTCGAGCGTGCTGAAACGTGACTTCATATTCCATTAACGGCTCATCTTCTCAATTTAATTAAAAGCTCATATAGCTAGAGCTTCCTCGAAGGTTTAAACTCTCAAGCACGCTCTTAGCTCTTTCGCCCCGTCCTCGTTTTCTTTCTCTCCCACGCTCTGTTTTCCAGTTCAACGCAATTATTCGCCTAACATTTTACAGTTTACCTCGTCTTGGCATTTACAAATGAATTGTCATATCTGCTATCCATTAAAATAAATTAATCGGTGCATTTGCCGTCCCGTCTCTCGCGGATTATTTTTTATTTCCTCTTTGCGTACGGGTTTCTGTATATTTAATCAGCAAATGCGTTGATCGATATTTCATTTTACTCGAAAACATACTGCTGATTCGATTTCCGGCTTTTTCATCCGCTGGACAAACATTTATCCAGCGAGAACGTTTCGTACGTATATGTATTTTCCTGGGCAGCGTCTGTGTGCGCTAATTGAAAAACCGTTATTTTGTATAAAACGTAGTAAATTTAGGAAATTTTTAGTTCGGCGCGCAATCAAAGACTGCCTGGACGTATATATCGACCTAACGATGACAGTTGCAGCTGGAAGTAGTCGATGTAAATCTGGGTTATATACCGGGGCTGCCAATATTTCCTCGACACATGGTCGGCGTTATAAGCGAGTTCGCTTTTATGAGGTGCAAGGCAAATTGAACTAAATATCATGTTTATTGCGGAACTTGCCGAATAGAGCTTCCGATCCCGACGTATACGGTCGCCAAGCGATCTATATTTGTCACTGTGACGTTTATTAATCCGTTATTGAATTACGTCATTCTATGCCGGCTTATCCTTGCATAAGCTTAGTCGCGAGCACGAAATCTAGAGTTGAAAAATTCTTTCGATTTCTACTCCTAATCCTCGGAATTTGTGTACAAAAATGCCACGCAAAAATAACAGAAACTAAAATATAAGATGGTGCAAAATCAATCACGGACGCAGACGAAGTCTTTCAACGGGGTAAACACTTTGATCAACGATAAAGACCTCTTAGATAAGATCCAACAACCAACGAGAATGCACCCACGGACAAATTTTCCGGATCCAATGCTATTACACTTCAATCATAAAATAGGATCGATACAGTCGTATTTATTATAGAGAAAGGAATATTTTAATCTTAAATTAAAATTCCTAAAATCTAGAATAATAAAACGCAAGAATATATAAACTTACATTTATATAAGTTACTCTTGTCTCAATATAGTAAGTCAATCTTTTTCAATTCGATAAAGGAGAATAAGAATTATTGATTTTATTTTGATATTGTCTTATTTTTGTACTAGATGAGGTTGTGTGAGAAATATAAATGCGTCAAGAATATTTTTTTGTCACGGCAACAGAAATCCTTTCTGAGGATGTGCCACGTAGGTCTAAAGCAGGATGTAGGTAGCTAAATAATTCAAATCTTATTATGTGAATTCATACACCGTTTTTTAGCATTTAAATACAAATTATTAGAAATCGTTCATCGATTAACACGTGAATTCGATGAACGACAATATTCCATCTAACGAAACTGTGTTATGTCAGAAAAGAAACCGGTGCACAAAACAGATGGGAAAAAGGAAACGGTATATGAATTCACATAATATGATTTGAATTGTTGGGAATTATTGGGAAAACAGAATAACATCCTGATCTACGTGGCGTTCTCGTTGTTTATTTTTATTATCATTTATTAAATAAACGCGAAACAATTCTGTGGGTGTTTGCAGACTATTTGTAACGAGAGCTCTCCTTTCATTGTGACCAGGTTACACCTGTTGGTGTAATCTTGCTCCGTCCGGATATCGTCCCGGACCGTAAAACGAGACGTGTCTCTCGAGCGTCGCGACTCTCGCAACTTGCATCAATCATGGAGATGCGACATTAATTCGTTATTGCGATACAATATTGCGAGTGTGTCTCTATGCCATACCGCTGCCAATATTTTGCGCCTGAGGTGGCGACGATGGGCGTCGGGACGCGCGAAACGACGTGCACCTCGCGTCATCTTTATCGCGATGCACGTATGCCACGAACAGATAAACGTCAAACGCGGCTAACGATGTGTTCTGTGAATCGCATCGTAACGAATGAAGCGAGTATGCGAGCTGAATCTGAATAACACATATCTCCTTTTCGGAATATCGTATGAAGACGGGATTGATTTTGCTCCGCGACTTTGTCCTTCAACAACAATTCATCTGAAACCGAATCTGCATCGTAACGTATTTCAACGACACACGAAACCAACGTTCTTGCTCCTCGTGGCGTTGGGTTGAAACTTTCCAAGAAAAATGGTCAGGTTTTCGTTCATTCGTGGACATTCTTTTTACGCGGGAAAAAAGTAGCGAAAGTATCCATCTTAGATATTATCCGTGCAGAGTGAGAACGCGGGGGATTTTCTCACAATAGCCACACTTTCTAGGCGCAACACACGTTATAATTGTGGATACGCCTACTGCGTATAAATAAAACGCGATAAACGCGTCACTGCACATAAATAAAAAGTCGATAAATAATTCGTTAACTACGTGTGGCGCGATGGGAACTGCCAGATATTCCGAGATCTCTCGCATCCGCGCGGAAGAACTGGAACGTGACATTGACCTTACAAAATATAAAAGCTTTTGTGCGGGTCCGGGATACACGTGTTCGGGTTTAAATTCGAGCGTGTCCGGGAGGACTTCTAAATAGCTACCGCAAGTGCGTACGGTTCGCGTTGAAATTCGGAATGGCAGTGACCATGCAAGTTAAACGTCTGATTGATTTATCTCGGTTTAGCTCCGCTTGGCCGTATGAATTTAATTACCGCGTATGATTTAGGCACTTAAATTGCGGAGGATAGTTTTATCGAGATATATGTCATCAAATTAACTTCAATGTGAAGTCGCTAAAATTTTTTTTAAGACGTAATCGTAATGAAACTTATAATTTGACAAATAATTGCAGAGTTTATCCGGATGTGATTTATTGTATACATTGAATAATTTTCTAGGGATATTAATAGAAGTATAATGATTAATATACGAAAAATCGAATAGTGTGATTTATTAAAAGTATTATACAGGGTGTCTCATTTTAAATGATCCACGCAAATATCTCCAAAAATATGACATAAAATTTACATACACAAGAATTTTCAATTATTGGAGCACTATTGCAACAGCATATTCCTGAGACCAAATCAAGTAAAAAAAGTCCTGCACTACTTTTCCTTTCGACGAACAGTTATCGAGCTATCATAGCCTAAACATTGAAAAAGTTATAAATTTTCTCGTGAATATCTCAAAAAGTATTAGGCAAGTCAAAAAATGTTTCGGACAAAAGTTGTTCATATTAATTAGTAGAATAAGATAGTATAATAAACAATAGGGGGTTCATTTAAAAAATTGAAGGTGACCTTCACGTGACTTTCAAATGACTATTCAAGGTCAAGTCAATGGCACCACCTTATGCCCCCCTTGGAACCAAACAACTTTTGTTTGAAACGTTTTTCCGTATCTTTTATATTTTTTGAGATATTTGTGTGGATCATTTAAAACCGGACACCCCGTATAAACACATTGAAAATTAATATTTTAAAGTATTCTTTTCACTGAATATTAGAGACATATTAAAGTTCTCAAATAAAGTAATGCGCGTAGTAGATTATTACGTAGATTAATGAACGCGGTTAAAGTATTTGTTTATACATTTTTAGAAAAAGTTTCACGAACGTTATTTTATTTTATACAGCCTGACATTTTATTTTATACTGTCTGAAATTTTTAAACAAATAAATTGCAGGGTCGTTAACTTTATATCTAGCGCAACTATGCTCACTCCACGTTGCCTACTTTGAGTGGTGTGCGTTTCCTACAGCTATGCGTCCAGCAACTTGT